GTGGATTGCTCTGGGCGAGTTCTTGCCCTCAGAATGTAGGCGATCGGGCAGATGGGAAAAATCTGTGCCACCTCCCCAGTGAGAAACGTCTAAGGGAGCTAATCCATACTTCAAGCCAATTGTCTGAGTCAAAAATGAAGACCCCCCCCCCCTTATTTACACTGATCTTAAAATCAGAGTAATTCTGGATTAACATTAACTCAATCTTAGGAATTCAACCCTGTTGACACTTTGCACCTCTCTATACACCCATCTGACTGCCAGGGTGACCTTCTCTTCCCTCCCAACTTCTAAAATTGTATGTTTTTACTTTGTGCCATCTTCCTCATCCTAGTGCCCTCTGAATGTATGGGACTTCAACCCTCATGATCTAGATCAGGCCAGGCTGAATAGGGATTATAAAGGCTGAAGTTCAATGCACCTGGAAGGCATCAGATTTTGAAAATGTTGCCTAAGGACTATTATTAGTCATCGGCCTCTAATCCCTAACCGCTTCATGTAACTACACATTTTGGTTTTGGTCCTCAAGGAAGCTGCCACAAGCAAGTTCAAAAATCCATTTTCCTGAGACTGCATAGAACGGATTCTTAGTTTACATTGGTTAAATCCTAAATCTGGTTTAACAAAATATAATTGTTATGTTTGTATAACAGGCTGAGCCCAAGCAAATGAACTGTGGCCTGGTTTATATAAAATGGTAAGGTAATGTTTGGGTTCCCACAATGCTGAACCATAAATAAATCAAGCATTGTTTAGCCTGGTGTAGTAAGCTCAGCAAACCTGGCTTAATTTAGGCATTAACTCAAATTACTGACACCCCCAACTGGAAATAGACTTGAGGCACTTGAAGGTGCACATCCAGGTTCCACATGGCACTTGGCTAAGTAATTGGGCCTCACTAGCACCAAGATAAAGCAAGGGTATTCCTGGGACACACCAAAGATCCCCAGGTGCGGTACTGGAGAATGTCGAGCAGGCTGACCTTCAAGGAGACTTGTCCACCAGTGAAAGCTTCCTCAGAAGACAGCTTCAAAGACACTGATCTTGCCGTCAGTGCTGGCTGGCATGACAACAATATGGGTGAAAGGCAATGTGTGTGCGTAAAAGTGGTGGCCGGAAGAACAGGAGGTTGTGTCTCTAGATTGCAGCAGTGTACAGCAGGTGGTCTTCCAGAGACCCTTGAAGTCCTACTCCTCTCACCCTAGTCAATGTAAGAGATGATGGGAGCTGCGGTCCACCGACGTCTGCAGGTTGCCAATAGCTCACTCTGCTATCCCAACCTCCCCAACTTGGTACCCCCTAGACATGCGGAACGTTTTCTCCTAACATTCCTAGCCAGCATGGCTATAGCTAGCTGAGATGATGAGAGCAGTAGACCAACACATCTGGAGAGCACTGAGTTGGGGAAAGCAACTAGTGAAGTATCCATGTTGCCCCAAACAATTGGTGCATCTTGGTCTCCCTTGCAACCAAGCAAGCGCTTTGGGTATGGCAGGACCTACCACCACAGGGAAGCGCAGCCCACCCACCACTGCTGTGGAGTGGAGGGATGGAGCAACAAGGCCTTGCTAACAGCTTAGCAATTACAACCACAGACACAGATTTGTGTTCTTTGCATGCACCGAGCTGCCATCATCTCCATCTCTTCTGAAGGTCCCTGGAAGAGCATCAGCCGCTTTTCCTGTTCATGTCAGACTCGAGCAGCCGAGGGGCTCTTTCTGTGGCTGTTCTGCTTTCCAAACAGACTTCTGAGTCAGGGCTGGGAGAGGCAGGGGGACTTAGCACCATTGCCTCTATGTAGTCTGGCAAAACCACCCGGGGGTGTGAGAGAGCAGAGCACCATGGCACTTGGGCAGCACTGCCAGCCAGAGGTCGGATCTCCATCAGGATAGGGTAGGCGGTCCGTCACCCTGCTTTTGTTGGTTGGCAGCCATCCCAGGTGGCTTGGAAAGGGGACAAGAGCACCATGGCCACAATGTGGTCTAAAATCAAGGCGGGAAAGAGCACCGTTGCTCGGGGGAGAGCTTAGCACCATGCGTCGCCTTTACACGACACATCCCCAGAAGTACAAACGGCCACAGCAGGCAAGAAACGTTCCCCTTGCAGGCCAGAAGAGGTGGGTTGTGAACATGGGCGCTGGCCCAGGCCAGGGAGACCCAGAGACGCGAACCTCCTTCTCTCCCTTTTCCCAAGAGTAGCAGGTCTGCTGAACATTCAAAGGAGAGCTGTGCAGGCGGTCGCAGCGTCAGGCTTTGGGGCAGACGATCGGTTAAAAAGCTACAACTCCTATGATAACAGCAAACAGCAACATACAATAACTGGAGAGAGCCATCATCTTTCCACCATGGTCTCCAAGGGAAAAAAAAAGAAGAAATGGATTCGAAACCCACATTACACAGAAAGCGCAACTGAACAGTGGACGGTCAGTGGAGGAGGGAGCAAAAGGTGCCCCTTTGCTCTGTGGCCGGGAATTTAAAATTAGAATCCTAACAAACTCAACAAAAACGAGAGAGAGAGAGAGAGAGAGAGAGAGAGAGAGAGAGAGAGAGAGAGAGAGAG